GAAGGGTGCGCTGCATCCTGGTAAGGGTGTTCGGCATCTTGTGCTTACTTCCTTGCGTACGGATGACAGCTGCGTATGACTTAATTTATTTTCTGGTGCTTTCACTTCCTGAGACAGTTGTAAGCACTGTGTAACTGCCTCGAGGGTGCTTGACCATTTCAACACAACGTGGTGCGATCATCCCCCTTGCGCGGAGCGAGGGTTCTCCACCCCGCACAACATGATCTACTCGACCACCATTATGGTTACCGCCAAAAAAAAAAACAGAGGTAAAAAAAAAACGGTAACCTGGTTGCCGAGTTCACGAAGTGAATTGGCTTGTTTTACAACGTCGTTGCCAAGCGACGAAAACCCAACCCCGATGGCAAACACCGAGGGGGAGGGGGTCCAAAACGACAGCCGATGTCGTCTGCCTTTTCTGTTGTGGGTTGACGAAGACATCACGAAGAAATGGTAGATCCAACGCCGGCAGTAGTCTTCATTACCCCCTCAGGCACCAAAAGGGGAAAGAATAAAAAATGGTAGGGGGGGTAGGAGCTTGGTTGATTTCTCGGTGAAAAACAACGTGTTGGGACCTCACCGCCCACGGGTGCGCCCGCTCGAAGGCCGCCCGCACCGCCTTCCAAGCTTCCGGGTCCTTCTTGGCGAGATCCAGCTCCAGGTGCTCCGCCAGGAGGGGCAAAATCGCGCTGCTGGCAGCGTCAGCTGCAGCGTCAGCGGCACCGGGGGTGCCGGCAGTGGCCGAGTTTAGAACCCGCGGGAAAGAGTACTCCGACGAGATTCGGGCCAGGAGAGCCGCCTCTGCACGACGGGTGATTCCCCCAGCATCCTGGGAGTGGGGGGGGGGGCGGAGAGGGGATGCGGAACGGCCGAAAGTAGGTACAGGAGACGTCGTACCCCCATCGCCCTCTGATTGATACCGTTACGAGCTATCCTGTACAAAGCTGAAGGGAGGGTGCTCGCGTGATCTTAACTACAGGTGCGTGTCTGGAGGCGTTCTGCGCGTAGGGGGCAGCAGTACGGCTCTTATGCTCTCGGGGTAGCTTGGGCCACGGCAGTCATGCTTCAATGGAGCGGACGAAAGCATGCGCTCTGCCCGATGCAGGCAAACGCAACGGCGCCTCTCCCATCTGTGGCATGGGGACAAGCAAGGACTGTGCCCCCGCACGTGTACCGCTCGGGCCATGTTGTAGACACTGCCTTTTGGCACCTGTCCTACCATTAACAGCACTTTCCGACGTTTTCGGGAAGGGACTTCGCCGACCACGTCATCGGGTTTCAAGGAGGGGTATGGGGATAGGGGGTAGCTCCCACTATTGCGTGGTAAACCACAGCTGTAAAACGGTTAGGCTATTATACGTAGGGGAAAGTGCGGGACCGAGGAAATGCTTGAGGGCTTTCGCCCGGTATCCCTCGTCTCGAAACTCAGCATTTTTTTTGTAACCCCCCAATAACAGGCAAAGGCGCGAAAACCGCAACGCAGCTAAAATAAAACAAAGCAAGTTCTAGTTGTCTTGTGTCTGCCGTCTAGACACACCCTCCCCAAACCTGTTCCGACATCTACACAGAGAATCAGCGAAACCGCGTGAGTCTGTTTAACTACTTGGATCAACAAGGCTCTCTCGCGCCTAACACGGGCCTGCAAGCGGTCGGCGCTTCCCTGCCTATCGATTGCAGAACCGCCCTTTCTGCGTCTTACCCTCGAGCGAGTGTACTCCCCCAATGCCTTGGGAGTCTGCGTGGAGAGGTAGGAAAGCTTGAGCTGGAGGCAAAGGAGAGACTCCAGGGTGCTCGCTGCCGCCTGTGGTAACCCCAACATCGCCTGTCATGCGCGCGACGATAAAAAATATTACAATATTAAACTCGTGACGAGCAGCGTGCGCTTGTCCATGGTGGGAAGTCGAAAGAGTTCGACAATCGTGGCACGCGGAAAAAAGTACAGTAGCTGTGCACGGCAGTGGTAGCGTGGTGGTCAAATAGCACTGTTTCGCCTGCCCCCCAACTACGAACATAATATACTCATCATCTACGTCTGATATCCAGTGATTGGAGGTGATATGGGTTGCTCACAACTCCAGTCTGGTTTATTATCTTGAATGAAAACGACGGCATCGGGTAACGAACGCAGAAGCTTGTTTACGGGGCGGGTCGTCGGGGCGGTTACGTCAGCGGTTCTCTGAGGGGCAACCCCTCAGGTGCGGTACCGGGATGGACTTGCATCTAGGAGAGAAGAAAAACCCACGTACAGTTGGGGGTTGGGTCCGCTTCTTCTGCGGAGGGGGCTTGGTGACAACAACAAAACAACAGTTATGTCTGCAGAGCCAGACATGGCGAGACGAAGTACGATTCCGATGCGCCTTAAGCGCGCGATAGGCACACCCTGGGCAGTGGTCGCACACACAGAGCCCCTTTTCAACATCTTCGACCCAAGCAGTTCAGGGTCGCGAATCAGGGGAGTAAAAGGCGCCAGTACTAAGTAGGGCAGCACCTCGAAACCACGCTTATCCGCCTCGCCCAGGGCCGTGCATGAATACTGCACACCATCAGCGGTGTCGGAGAACGATCCACGCCAGTAAACTTTTCGAATCATCGTTTATATCTTCAACTATCCGTTGGTGGACCTGTGACTTTGCCACGTATCTCGTAGGCAAGACAATAACAACGCTCGAAATACAGTTAAAGTAGGATATTGACGAACCTTTTCCAGGACCTTTCCGAAGTAAGTTCACACCCGTGCGAGGTACATGTTGTGTGCGAGGATCGTCGTGTTTTTTGGTACTTCAATAAACTTATCCTTGAATACCGTCCTTATTTCTATTCCGCTGGAAGTGCATGCGTCTATGTAGAGACGCGGCGTACTCTTGAAACATTGGGCTAGTTTTGCTAGCATTGAAAAATCAGGTTGAAGCAAAATCGCATGAAAAGCGGATGTAGATTTTGGTCCGTGGCGCTTGCCCAGGCCCTATCTTTCACTGTGAAAGTGCGTGGCCCCCACCTTCGTGCAGGCCTCAGCCAGCGAAGCGTGGTCCAGAGCTTCGCCGAGCTTTACTCGTGCCAACGTCTGGAAGGATACGAAAGAAAAACGACTGTCAGATAACAAGAAATATGGAAAAAGAGACGCGCGGCGATGCTTCCTTCCACAAGACAAGAACGTGCTGCTACGATAGAGGGGTCATCACCTCATCTTACTTTCGGGTAGGCCGACACACCCTAGTCAAGCCTGTTGGATGCAACGTACCGATGTAGGATCGCCCAAGCAGAACAAAACGTTTTTCTCCAAAAAAGAGTAAGATTTCACCTAAAAGTGCACCCTCGATCACTATTGGAGCGCTCCCGTAAACCGAGATACCGCGTCCTAGAGTTCTTCGGTCTACAGGTGAGATACGCGACCCCTAAAACACCCGGACACACAACACGTGTTTGTGCCTAAACCGCCGCGACTGTCCCGCAGCTGTCACTCGCGAGGGTACAGCACGGGTCACTTTTTCTAGAGACCGGGCATTTCTAGGCAAGATGCCCGGGAGGATAACGCACCCCGACGTAAGAACTTCGTTGAGTTGCTGGGTCGATCTTTCGTGGGTGAGTCTTGGGTGACGCAATGATAACGCACTCTCCCGTGATATTATTTCTTGGAATTTTCGCGAAAAAATCGCTCAGGGCGGTGTACATGATTCAGTGGGGGTTCACAAGAGTATTATTTTCGATCTCTTGGGATCGTCAATTCACATTTTCCTTCTTCTGCTTTGTCACAAGTATCACAGGGCGGCGACGAAAACGGCATATGGTGTCATTTAGCATTCATTGACGGAGCGGGGGGTAACAGGCGTACACGATCTGGTCTGAATATCGTTTTTAGATGAGAACTTAAGAGCCGATTCTTGGGCTCAAATCCGATCCCCCGACTGACCGGAAGATGAAATATGTGAACCCCACTCACCCCTCCCAAATTGAGATCAAGGGCGAGCTCTTGTGGCACTTGATGGCCGTGCCTAGTCCAAAGCGGCAACAGCTCCGGTGCCGTCGTCTCGAGTTGCGAAGTTATGTCCTCCATGCTCACACTGCCGCGCAAATTTGTTGAACGACAGAGGGGCAGGGCGCGGCGGAGGGTTGACGCTGCGTGGTCGCACACACGTGGTGTGTATATTTTCGACGGTGTGTGTGCGACCGTGCGACGAGAGATGGCAGCATAGGAAGGATTCGGCAGACATGAAAAGCACTGGAATAGAAAAGGTTGGCGTGCTTAGTCCTCTGTAATTTAGTATTGTTCTAACGGTGGGTGCTTAGGACAGTATACAGTATCACACCACCTGCTATATTTCGAACACTTTACGTGACCATATTTGGGGTCCGAACCAACGAAAGTGCATAAGTGAGCGTACCTCCCTTAGGAAAGACTTCAGGGGCTCGTATGCTCCACAACCAAGAGGTGATCACCGCCGACAGGGTGCTTCGAGAAATACTTCGTCGCGAGCTTTCCGTAGACGCATCTTCTCCGTATCAATCGACTTGACAGGCCTCTCCCCTCCAGGACGGGGGGGGTCAATGACCGGCCTACATTATGCCTGCGCATACATTTCCCACAAGGGCAACACACTCGGCCGACACAACACGGATCAATTCCCACCCACCACCTGCCGGGAATCCGCGACCGCTGGGTGCCCAAGGGTATCGCCCCGGGAAGGAGTTCATGCTGAAGGTCCCAGCTTTGAAGACCGTTCTTGACGAGCACCTCCCCGCTTTTGTCCGGAGACGGGATCGACACCCCGGGGCGTTCCTTTTTCCAGCCGGTGTCGGGGGGAGGGTTGCAGCGTAGTAAGGGATATGGACTTTGCGGCCTCTTCCAAGCACACAATATTGAGTGGGGGAGCCGGGAGATATATGACGGGGGTACGGCATGAGGGTGTGTGAGTCTTCTTTGGTGACATCTTGGTGTTTCCTCGAAACTCATCACGACCTTGTTTTGTATTCACCCGTGCATAACACTCTAAGGGAGCCCGCGATGCTTGGTTTGGTCCTGTATTTGACGCAGGCGTCGTAGATATACTTTTGGTTTCACTCTTTAGCATTGACGGTTTCGTGCTGTTGGACGGTCGATTATTCCAGTGGCTGAGCTCTTGGATTGCGTGCTTTGTGTGCTCTCTCTGAGATCACTCTCCTTGGTTACCGATAATACGCGACCTCATTATCACTCATCGACTTATCAAGAGTCAGCATTACCCGGTTGGGAGGTATTGCGAACATAAACCGAGCTTGGGTGCGTCGACGCTTAGGCCACTGGATTTCAAATAACCTTGACAGCCATCTATGTCGCGCTCCGTGTCTGCGACAGCAGCGGACATCATTTTTCGTTGAGAATAACCTACTCGTATGGATCTGGCAAGCACATCGTTCATGACAGGGATGACAACCCTGGGGGGACGTGTTCGTGGCTTGAAAGAAAGGTTGACGGACTCGGGTATTAACGTTTTTTGAGAAGCACGACAACCACTGACTACCGTCCTCCCGAGTCAGCGCTGACTGGTAGTCTGGTGGCTTTCGTGCTTCTCAACAGCCTTCGTTCGTGCGGCCGCGGTGGTGAGAGTCGGTGTGCGGTGTGGAGGCGAGTAAAGCAGCGCAAGGCAGTTATTTACTAAGAACCTGCCGACTTATAGAATTCAGCAGGATTCGGCAGCACAAAAAGTAAGAAGCTTGACATGAGAACTTGAACAACGTACACGCTTTATTTTCAGCCCACAATAAGATTTTGAGGCTGGACAAGACTTAATTTTCGTTTCATAGTATCGGGCGCGAGCTATTTCGGAGGCACATATAGCAGGAACGAATCGGAGCAAATAAAAAAATGAGTGCGGGGTGTAACTTGCTCTCTGTGTAGCAGCTACATTGTTTTTCATTTGGATTTTAGC